AATACGATCCCCAGCAAATTTTCTAATTCAGTAACAACTGCATTCATTCCAAAAACAAGTATCAAATATCTCCAGCCAATCTCTCAAACTTCATCTCACCTTACAGGAAATGCTCAGAAAAAAAAAGAAAAACCTCTCAGAATGGGTGAAGACACCTTCTGCCAGGGGCTCTGGCTGCCAGTCCATAGAGCAACACTGCAAGTACTGCCCAGTGATATCAGACCTGTGCCTTCAGACTTCAAAGTATCTGGCCAAGCATTTCTAAGTGAGAGATGCATTTAAAAACAAACATGTTTTTCTGCCTAAGTATTGAAGCATCTGGAGGAAAAAGCAATTGCATAATTTTACCATTTTACCTGTCACAAATGGAGATGCAGCTAAAATACAGAAAGACAGGAAACAGGTAATTTCCCTCTGTAACCAACCCAAGTCTTTCAAAAAGGAGTCAGCCCCCACGCCTCCATGACGTAATTTTTAAATTATTTATTCATGTTTGCCTTCCCCACTTTTCATAATTCAGTAGGAATTGAAATTTTATATTTTCATTGATTGTAATATCACATCTGTTAAGCAAAACTACAGAGTACTGCGAGGCTTTGCATAAAATCTTGCAAGCTGGCAATACTGGTGGTTAGTCCCTTGATCCAGTTTACTTTTGAGGCTCAAAATGCCATTAAATAGACAGCAATAAATATTTATCCCCATTTTTTGTGATGCAATAAAGTAGCTTATGCCTTTGCAATTTCAGTAAAATTTCATAGAAAAACTGAGTAAGTGGTTTCCCCATCAGACAGAAAGTCACCTAATTTAAAAAAAAAACAACTAAAAACCAACAACCACAGAACACACTCTGAACCTTTTCTGTGGACTTTATAATGCTATTCTTGACTAATAATCTCAAAGAAAAAGTTGTATTTATTATCTGTTTTTCAGTGCTACGTAGTAAACATACATTCACAGAAGACTTCTAATATTAACAGGTAACGATGCTGAGGTCATCCCTTCCCTATACCACTTCAATTTCTAGAACAAAAAAGCTTAACTCCAGATGTACTGATGTAAAATCAAATGCACTCTGAATGCAGAGAGAGGTTGCAGATGGCTGTTAGGTGTTCTCTGATTGTTTTTATAATTTGTTTTATGAAGTTGATAGCAGATTAAATATTTTATGCTCATAATCCCCGCAAGCTCTAGATATTTACCCTTGTCCTTTGAGGAGCGGAGGAGCCAAAGGCAGGCAGTCCCTAGCCACAGACTTTACACTGGAGACATAACCCACATTTACAGGATTAAAAAAATAAAAAAAAATAAGAATAAAGACATAATCTGTCCAAATAGCATAGAAATGCGAAGCACAAACAGGATTTAAACATAAAATGTACTGTTGAAATCATGATAAGACGATACATTGAGAACACGAGTTCGTTTATCATGGTCCATCTCAGTGGCATTTAGTAGATGTCCTGCTGCATTAGTGCTAGACAACAATGAAGCACTTTTAACACTTGTGCTCCACCCTGAAAGAACTACAACACATTTAGGCAGCAGCAGGATATAGAGACTGCCATTACTGCAACCTGCATTTGTCCATAGAGCTTGTATGTTTAGTCTTGGCAGGCATCTCTAGTTTGTCGGGGATGCAGACTGGCTTTGTTCAGAAGTAGGACACGGCTATTTGATCATCTAAACTCAAACCAATTCCAAGATCCCTGTACAAGCTCGCTGTGGCACCACCCCCAATTACAGCTTAGCTGTCATATGAGATACATCCTTCAATCACAGCGTGCTCCCCACGCCATTGCATAGCAGGACACATTACACAGTGTGATGGTAATGGTGAGGGGGCTGTCAGCCACATGGATTGAGCAGCTGGCTTTGCATATAAACCACACAAAGAGCCCTGGACTTCCTTTCAGAAACATAGTGATGGATCTACATATGTATAACTGATAAAATAGTAAAATGTGGTCTAGAAAAGGGCAATTTCTCCTAGGCCAACCAAATACAGCAAATGACAAAAAAAAAAACAACCCCACGTAGTTATTAGTACCAAGAAGCATTTCTCTCACCCCTACTCCCTATACCCGTATTTCCTGGCACAAATCAGAGGACCTAAAGCCAGATAGTACAGTAGTGCCATCCCTGAGAAATGCAGAAATACTATCCAGCTGAACATATTGGGGGAACTGTGAAGAAGTTGGTTTGGATCGGAGAGACTATTCAAGCCAGAAGCCCTACCCTGCCTGCCTTTTTGGATCAACCAAGAAAAGCTGGGACTCAAGTCTGAAATTCAGGTGGTCCCATATCCCTGTTACAGAGCTTCTACCTACTAGAACACCAACACAGCGAAAGGCAAAGTGTTCTCATTATACGTGCCAGGTTCAGGTACAGGCCTGCTCACAGTATGTTCTCCATCAGAGATTTTGTCATCAAAGATTTGCTTCTACATGGGGTTTCTTATCTTTGAAACAGAACTGCCTCACTTTGACAATACAAATGTCAGAGAATAGAAATGAGACCATTTCTGATGGCTAGAGTGAGAGGCAAAGCATGCTGAGCCATTCTTCTGTTTATTGTGGTAACAAATGCATCTTGGGTGTATGTGTGTGCTGAAAATACCTTTTAAAAATTAAACGCTAGTTCTTCCATCTTTGTGTTTCACTCTTAAATTTCAAGCTAGCAGGAATCATATTTTTCTTTCAGTTTTATAACATCGTAATAGATGTTTCTGAATGTTATCTTTGCAGGAAGCAAACAAAACAGCCTCTCACTGAAACGAATGCTTCGTAATTCTCCCTGAGGATGATTCCAAAATGAAGGGCAGGAATGATATCAAAAGGATCTCCTCACCAACTGTTCTGGTGCGAGTGACCTTCAAAACAAACAAGTAGGGTGGCAGTTTGGTTGGTGGCATTGCCCTCTCCTGGCCAGTTTCAGCATAACCCTAACCCTTGTACTTGCCCCTGTTGAATTCCTGGCAAGGTGCATGACAAAGCCCTGTTACTGCTCTATTTCCTGCTGTTGTGATGAGACTGTCGTCGTGTCACAGCAGTACCACCAGTATCAACACATAAGCCTTCCTTCAAGCCTTCCATCCAAGGACTTTGAGGCAATTTATCAACATTCTCTGATTGTTTCACTTACAAGCTCTTGAGAAAGAGAGAAAGATCAATGGCCACAGTTCAGCTCTTGCCAATAAAATGTTGGTTGGGGACATAAAAGCAGTGAGGCTGATTCAGAAACAAAGGCTGTGAGGCTTGTGAGGCCATGACTGCAATAATAGCAAAAAGAGCTGCCTAATGCAACTAATGCCTTTGTGTCACTGAGTGTCCCCTCCCAACCTCCCCATCAAGTATCCAAAACAGAGGTCAGACACAAAAAAGACTCCTGGAAACTCACGGAGGATGCGGCAGGCTGTGATGTGTGTCGGGGCACCATGTCCACCAGAGTTCCCATGCCGGATGCCACAGCTCAGCTCAGTGCCAAGGGGAATGTACCAGCACTCCTTCCCCCTTGAAGCCTGAGGGGGAGAAGCAAATGTATTAAATACAAAGGAAAGAATTTTCTTAGAGGGAGAACAGACTTACCAACAAAATGTCTGAATATAACCAAAACAAAGGAGGAAAGTTGCCACCTTCTTTCATTGCCTGCAGAAAATATATTTAAGGGCTACAGTCTTAGGGAAATTTACATATTTTTGTATTTTCTTCCACACGTAAAGTATGGTGGACAGAATTCCCCTGAAACACATGTGAAAAAGATTCCTGATTACATTGGCTTACACTGCACATAGGATCGAATTCTCTCTTCCCGTTTGTGGAGGGGGAATCCAAATTCAACAGAAGTCAAATATGCCAGCCAAAGCTGCACTGGTCCCTAGTGTCAAATATTCAGGGTATTACTTAATTCAGTGCATTTAGCCCAGACAGCAAAGATTCATAAATAATTTCAGGAAACAATTCTGCCTACTGACATTTATATTTAGGAATTTTCTGGTAATCTGTTATTTTCTTTGCTTAGTCTTCCTTTAGAAGTCCAGAGTGAAGTGTGGTGAAAGGAAAGGTGGGAGAGTTTAGAAAAGTTAACAGAATGGAGAATGGTAAGATTCCTTGAGAAAGACTGAATGACAGTAGGAATCACTGTTTTTAAGAATCATTTAAAGGTGGGCAGGAGTGTAACCCTTAGGCAGATGGTCACTATTATCTTGGTTGTGTCATCCTCGTACATCTCTAGGGACCAAAGGTCAGGGGTAGAACAGGGCGGGTAACACAGGCAGAACCAAGGGGGTTGCTGAATCTGCTCGGGGTGGAAGGATTTTGGGGCCCATTCTGCAAAGCGGGGCTGAGAGCGAGTGAGCAGGGAGGCCACGAGGTGTGGGGCAAGGATCTGAGGCCTCGGAGGGGCTATGTGGCTCCAGGTGTCTCTGGAAGCAGGTCGGCCCGGGGGGACTGGAGCACGGGGATCCCCAGGAGCAGGGCTGGCTGGGGGAGACCAGGGCACAGGGAACGGTAGGCCCGGGGTGGGGGACTGGGGTATCGGAACGGGACGCGATCCCCAGGAGCAGAGGTCGCGGGGTCTGTGGAGCCCCTGGGGAGGAGGTGGCACAGGGAAAACCAGGGTCCCCGTGGGGTGGGGTGCCGGGCCCGCCCCGCCAGGGCCCCGCGCCCTGCG